TCAGAGGTGAGCATCTTGTACAACCTTGTGTCCTACCTTTGGCACTCCCAGCTCTATTTTTTCTCTTTTTTTCCAAAATACTTAATAACTTTAAATATGTTATAATTTACTTATTTTTCATGCATTACTTATTCTTCAACTCACTTAGCTTGAATACTATAAACTCCAAGAGGACAGAGACCTTTACTACCTGTTTTGTTGAACAATGTATTCCAAGCACAGAACCTGCTACATGGTAGGCCCCAATATAGCTTGGATGAATAGACTAGAACTGCTGCACAGCCCTTTGCTGAAAAGTCCGCAGACACCAAAGAAACACATTTTGAATGAATGCATGGTGACATTAAAAAGTATATTTTCACTAATCAATTCTGATTTATTTTCCTTTGTGCAATGGACCCAGTGTAATTTGGAGCTTAATTTTGAAGGTCTATACCCAGGGTACTTCAAGAAAGGATCTCTATTCTATGCATGGCATATAAATTTAACAAATATCAATAAAGCTGAATTCTAAACTTTCTAAACATGCTTAGTACCAGTTTCCTTATACTTCCTTTACTTAAAAATGCAAAACTGCTTTTAAAAAGTTATGTCTTACCGGTAAGTCGGTGAAAGCAATACCTAAAAAAACAAAAACAAAAAACAAAGTGGCATTAGAAGCTGTTTATCAAAGGCAGATTATAGTTACAAGATGAAATTCTAACTAAAAAGAAGGAAAAGAGTAGCACAGAAAGAAAGGGAAAAATGTTAAAGCCTAAATAGAAAGCAACAGGACTAATTATTTTATCAGTTAACATTAACATTTATGTCTGAGTGAACGCTGTCCCCCTTCAAGATCATCAGCCTAGCTAATCATACATATATTTTACTTCTGGGATATTGCCATTGTCTCCAGGATTTTTGAAATGGTTTTAGATATACCTCCAAAGCTACTTTAGGAATTACATAAGAAAACTGGTTGCAAAATAGTCACATTTGATTTTTTACCCACAAGTTGCATTATCCAGCCTCATCACTTAATCTCCTTCATTTAGATTTAGCTTTTAAATAACGTTGAGTGCAAGGAAAAGAGCTTTTCTGTTATAAAAGATGAACAAGGGAAAATATAGTGTTTTTGCTTCTTTAAAAAAATGTTTTTTAAAAGTACATTCTTTAAATAACTTTTGACTACTCTGGAAAAACTTAATTCCTCCTTCAAAGGATAAAAATTTACACAAGTGAGAATTTCTCTTGAATATCCTTTGACAATAATTTCAACGCAGTCATGTTCAAATACCACTCTGAAATGGCAGTATCACTGGAATGTCTACTGGCATCCCAAAGTGACGATTTAATAATCTCTTTTCAAATATTTAAATATATTCCTTAGCTGAAAATAATATAATAAATAAACCAAGTATTTCTGTAGGACTTCACTGATTTATTTAAAGAGTAAGCTCTAGAATAATGGGAGAGCAGTGGAGTTGGTGAGTCAGTTAATCTCAATTCTTCCAGTCTAAACACACATTAAAACAAAACAAAAAAAAAGCTAAACCAGCACCACTACCTCAATGGTCTTGGTCACCATCTAAAAAATGAGGGCATTTCCATTAAATTACTTTAAGGTCTCTTCCCACTTGACCTTCCATGCCTCTA